TGCCCCCAGCCCCAATTCGTGCCGGTTCCACTCACCCCCTCTCTTGGCGGGCGGTGCCTCCAGGCCGCGGCCCTCGGGGGGGCCGGCGCGGGGCGCGGGGGGGCGCAGGGGCCCCCCCGAGTCGGGGAGCCCCACGGCGTGGCAGGACAGGGAGCGGGGGGCCATGCCGGGGGCGCAGGGCCGGGGGCCGCGCTCCTGCGGCGCCGGCAGCGTCAGGAAGCCCACCCGCAGCGGGCGCCGCAGGGACCCCCCCTCCCGCGCCTTGGGGACCCTGCGGGGGGGACACAGCGGCTCAGGGACACCCCGAGGTCAGGGGACACCCCGAGCCCCCCGGGGATTCTCCGGGAACTCGCAGGGACGCTGAGGTATGGGGGGGACTAGGGTGCAGAAGGTGGGCCGAGGGTCTCGGGGTCACTGCAGGAGGGCAGGGGGGCATTGGAGGTCCTGGGAAGGGGCGGGGGTCCCAGGTCCTCCCAGGGTGAGCTGGGGCCCTGTGGGGAGTCCTGAGGGGCTGGGCGGCCTCCCAGGGTGGTCCTGTGGGATCCCAGTGTCCCCTCAGAGTGGTCCAGAGTGGTCCCAGTGTCCCCTGAGGGTGGTCCAGGGTAGTCCAGGGGTGTCCTCTATCCCCTGAGGGTGCTCCTGGGACCCCCAGTGTCCCCTGACAGCAGTCCAGGGTGGTCCTGGGGCTCCCTGTGTCCCCTGGGGGTGGTCCTGGGACCCCCAGTGTCCCCTGAGAGCATTCCAGGGTGGTCCTGGGGCTCCCTGTGTCCCCTGGGGGTGGTCCAGAGAGGTCCTGGGACCCCCAGTGTCCCCTGAGAGCAGTCCAGGGTGGTCCTGAGGAATCCCAGCATCCCCTGGGGGTGGTCCTGGGACCCCCTGTGTCCCCTGAGAGCAGTCCAGGGTGGTCCTGGGGCTCCCAGCATCCGCTGGGGGTGGTCCTGGGACCCCCTATGTCCCCTGGGGGTGGCCCAGGGGCTCCCGTTGTCCCCTGAGGGCGCTGCCAGGGGTCCTACCTTCCCGCCCAGGCCCCCCTCGGCCGGTGGCCGTGTCCCCCCCGGCTGTCCCCGGCTGTCCCCGGTGTGCCCTCACCCCTTGCGCGGCTCCTCGTCGCGGGGGCGCCACTCGGGGCGGCCCTTGCGCTGCAGCAGGCTCATGGCGGCCGCGGGGGGGCGCTCCTCGCCCAGGCGCAGCAGGGCGGCGGCGGCGGCCGCCAGCTCCGACCGCGGGGGGGCGCTCATGGCTGGGGGCGGGGCCTTCAGCCCCCGCCCCCCTGCCGCCCCCCACCCA